TCGAATTTTTTATTTAATTAGTTTATAGTCCGTATATAATTTGTTTGGACTGCAAGTGCCAGGCTTAGAACTCGTGCCTGTCAAATTAGAAGCGATGACTAATCGTGTTTATCCACAAGAAGCCAAGGCTGCACAAACTTTCAATGCTCAAGTTCCAGGTTTTATTGTCACTTACTTTTATTTAATTAGTGACAACAACCAAAGCACTTGCCGTGCTTTAAATTAGAACGAGCTTATAAACTACAGCTTTATTTTTGGAAATATTTTTTATTTACAAAAAATGATTGAACATAACACTTTTTCACTAAAAACTTATGTACATCCCCGGATTTTTAAATACCCTATTAAACCTTTTACGCATGTGAAATATGGAAAAGCTCAAGAAAGGGTTATAAGGATATTGACAATTTTGATATAAAAATATATCGTGATATCATTTAATTCCCTTTAGCATGAGAGGAAAAACGTTAAAGGGCTAAAAGAGATACCATTCAATTCTCTTGGACTGCAAAGGTCAACCGAATGTTTTATATGGGTTATTCTTTTATAGATATTATTGTTTTTGATCTCATCACCCACGATTTCGAAAAATGTTTTTTTTTATGAAGTCCTTTTTTAAATAAAATTTTTAAATAATTTTCTACAAAATACAGACCCATGTGATTTTGTGAATTTGCAATTTAGACCAATTTTTATATATCCACATCTCAAACTCTGTAAATGACAGAGATATCGATTTTTGGCTTTGTTAAGATAATAAATTAAGCTTTTGGTAAGTCGTATAAGTAATAAAAATGGTTTATATTTCTTACCGATCTAGATTTTAACGAAAGTGTTATTTTTTAAAGTATTTTTAAAGAAATAATTTAACCTTTATCTTTCATCAAACTCAAGTGAATGTTATTCATAAAAATCAGTTATGGTACGTAATCGAATACAAATATTTCACATTCTCCCGTGATAAAAATAATCAGTAATTTATTAAGATATCATTCATTAAGATATCAAATACAATAGAAACGTTCAAGCCACAGACTATGTCCTAGTGAGAAGGGCATTCAAATATATATTAAAGTCATGCCAACTTAATTGAAAACAAATAGTGTTTAGCTTATATACTTCTTAGGTATATACAACAATATACAACAATCAACAATAATTTTAATTATATAAACAATTTTAAAGGACGTAGCCCCTAATATCTAACCTTATTTTCCAGTTTTTTTTATTGAAAAATTGAAACCTTTTAAGATTTTCGTTTAAGATTATGTGACAATCGATCTTTTAATATTATAAGTAGGTATATATGTTATTGAGATATATTTAGTTATCGTGCATACTACTATTAATACTGCTGATATTTATTTACGCTTTCTACTTTGATAGGGAATTATTACTAACTGCTAGCTGTGTATCATCATCATCAGTATAGTCTCAGCGATTCGTATCTAATCTCTAATTAATTTTAAATAAGTCAACTTAAACAAAACATTACCTTAAATATTATTTTTGTGAAAATTTCTTTGATTTTTTTTTAATTCAAAAAAAAAAAGCTGAATTCCTTTTTAATTAGTGAAACTATTTGGGCTAGAACATAAGATAATCCAAAGGAAATAGATATTAAATGAATAAAAATGAGGACAACGAAATTGCGTATCGATATGTCCTAAGTATGTTTTTCATTACATGACCTGTTCAAGTTTAACCTAATCTAATCAAATGAATCCCTGACAATTTTGTATAATGAATATATAAATTAAAATTAATCTCTAAGTCTGGTGACATAACTTAATCAATCTCATTACATGACCCCATCTAAATAAAGTAGTTTTGTTAAATTTTAAATTTAAATTAATTTAAAAATTTTTTCCTAGACATTTATATTTTTATTTGAAAAGAAGAGCTCATAAATAATATTTCTATTTATTCGTAGATAATGAAGTCAAAAACCGCTTCACAAAAGAATGACCCATATGCATTATACACTATTAATATCGTAATGCACTTGATTACTTTATATGACGTCTGGATCGTGAGGTCTTATTATTGGTTAGATTTAATCTCTGACGTGGTGTGTTGAACTTAATCACCTCCTGCGATATTTCTAGTGAGAGACCTTGCAATCAGTTTGTTATTTCCTATTTTATTTTTAAATTCATTCGATGTGAAACCATAAGCAATCAAGAAAAGTGTTCAGTACGAGCGAAAGGTTTTAGTATTTAGCACATATAAATACTTCTTAAACTAAGCACATTCCACAACTATGGCAACAGTGATCGAATGCAAAAACAAAAAAAAAATTAATACCAAGATTGATCCCAGACGTAGCGAAATGGTCAGATAGGCAAAATGGGGAAGTAAACTATTATCTAATCAAATTCTTTTCTGGTCATGGATATACGGAGATGCAGACAAAGACAACGCTGAACACACCATCTTCATACAACAAATGGAACACCGAAAGACTATCACTTGAAACAATAGTCGCAGATGATGTTATCTGAAGAAAATTGAGCCGCCAAAGACCTATTCCTTGCGATCATACTTAAACAGAAAAAAAATGAACTCAAAAAATAGTATTTTTAAAGCAAAAGTGAACAAATACACTTAAACGATACTTAAACGTAGGCTGTTAATGACTAACAAATAACTTAGAACCTTACTTTAAAGTATTAACGATAAAATTCCAGAGCATATGAAAGAGAAAAAGTCTTCGTAGGTAGAAGGAATTAAATAGGTAGAAGGACTTGAGTTCGTTGGTAATAAAAGCTGAGTTTTGAATGACGTAAATGCTGTCATAAATGTCAATTTTATTGATATACCATAAGATTGATTTCGGATATTACAGTATATTTATTATTTCACATTATCTTACAACTGTATTTAGATAAACATTGATATTGTTTCTTTTCTTTACTAAAGATTATAATCTTTATCAGTCACATATTGATAAAGATAATTTACATAGTATATCAAACTTATAGATAAAAACGCAAAGTACAAATGAAATGTAAATAAACATCTGTAAATAAAAGAAAAAAGTTCTTTATTTTTATGCCATATAAAATAAAGATGAGGCAATTTTATATTGAACAATTCTGTTGGTGCCAAGTATTATTAACAGACTCCATTCAAGTTACAGTCAAGCGTCGGTCTTTATCAAAATACTGTTCAAAACAATATAGATACAATTGTTTAATATAAGAGAAAGCTTTACTTGTAGCTTTGAATAGATATTCTGTACAAAAGCAACTGTTGGTTTTTAAAATATTCGATAAAATCTCAATAACCTCTGTATAACATAGGTTATACAGATATATACAATGTGCTTACCAAAAAAAACATGTGAAAAAATTAAAAAAATTTTATTGTGGACATTTATTGCATCTGTATCAATATATTAATAGAGGCAGATCAAGCTGCCTCTGCCGCTATTCGCTCTCCCTTATTCTTATTCAAGACATCCGAAAGAAAAGACGTTTTAAATTTTATAAACAAACATATGGAAGACGAATGGGCTATGGAATGGTCAGCGTACAACCATCGCTACAAGTCGATCAATACCAGTGGTTTAAAAGCTATATACCCACAATCATGCACTCGTCAATAATGTAAGATTTTTATCCGATTGCGTATGGGACATTCAAAGCTTTTTCATAAACATCTTTTGAGTGGCGATCAGCCATCAAACTGTCTATTTTGTAATAGCACACCATCCATAGATCATATACTTAACGATTGCCCTTCTTTTTATTCTATTCGTAGTAATATCTTTCCCAATATCTCACCAACCAGCGTTTTAAAAACAATTAATGTTAAAAATATACTTTTGATGTATAAATATATTAGAGCCTGTAATCTAGTAAATAAAATTTAATTTATAATATCCGACCTGAAGGCCCTGGCAGCTAGCGCTCTTTTTTCTGACCTTAGTTATAAGATTTTATATTTTGTAATTAATTATAATAAATAAATAAAATAAATAAATAAATAGAGAATATACTTCATTGACACTCTGTTAAGATTTATTAGACTTCTGATGTGTAGAAGCAATGAAGTTTTTGTAACTGTAGTATATAATATATAATACAAAATATATAATATATAGTACATATAAAATATAGATATTAGTATAAAATGTAGTCCAAGTCAATGTTATCTAAATAGTACAACAAAAAATCGGTGATTATATCTTGAACTGAAACGCTATTCTCATGTTTAAAAGAAGTGTGGTATCATCTTAAAACTACAACCCTTACCAAACAGATTTAATGATCATCAAGTGGATTTTTTTACTTCAAATGTCGCCTACTTTAACAGTTATTCAATCTAAAACAACTCCATTATATAAATTATTTTAAGAAGCGTCATTTGGATAGAATACTGCCGCTACTGAAATCAATCAACCAAAATTTTTCTCTGAAATAATGGATACGCTCCATCTATTCATTGATGCAATGAATAGATCTAATTAATTTTATAGGGAGGGTATATGGAAGTACGTTTTATAGGGAACAAACTCAACCCTTAATATTTGTCTGCAAACTTATATAAGAACATTTAAACCCGAGTTTAATATATCTAAAGACTACTGATGATGTGTATTTGACTGATCCGCCAAAAATTCATTTTATTATTTTAAATTTAAATTATTATTTTATTTTAAAATATGCAAGGTTTTTTTTAGTTAGTATTGTTCAAAACAATTGTTTTCATTTTCATAATTGTTAATTTAAACAATTATTTTCGCAATTCGAAGTTCTCGAAATAAAAAAAAAATATATCTTTGACTTAGGTATGGCAAAAAAGCTCATAATATTGCATGTAATGTATTTAACATATCTTTGAAACTATGTAAGATTTCCTAAACTTTCTTCTCAAAAGATTCGTATTTATAAAAACTTTTCCGATCACCTCAAATCATGTTAAAGTTCGGGAGTAAACTGACTTTATAAGCTCACTCCCAGTTTTTCATTCCATTAGTATCTTTTCATGTGCTGTGAGCATCAGAAGTTAAGGTCGATTTTTAAAGTGATTGTCTTTCATATAAAGTATTTGAACTGCTACAAGTGAAAAAATATGGCAGACTGTTTTGCTTTTCAATTGATGATAATATTGTCGTTTAATTTGGCTTTAGCTATGGCTCCTCTGAAAATAATTGACTCCTGTGTATGGACTTGCATTTGCGATGAGTATTTAAAACGCGGACGTGTAAACTGCAGGTGAAATAATATATATCATTAAATTGTTTTAAATCTAAATATTAATATTTGAAACATCATTATACTTTATGTTTTATTATTAATATTTCATCAGTATAATTTTTATTTTTAAGATATATACTAACTTTTATATTTATTTTTTTTTAATATGTTATTGCCATACATTTGCAAAAATTCAACCAAATCTTAAGAGTTTAATTTTTTTTTTTTGATATTTTAAATTAAAATCCTTGACTATTTAATTTTAAAAAAAATACTTTTATGGTTTCCAATGTATAAAAATCGTGAATATTTTGAAGTCACATTTAATCACATTTAAGGATAAAGGTTAATTAAATGTAATTAATTTAAATTTAACCTGAGTCGAGAAGAAGAAATTTGGTTTCCTCAAAAGAGTAGAGACATAAACTACTGGACTAAAATTTATTTTTTTTTAAGTAAATTAGATGAATTTTTTAACCGGATTTATATTAGAAATATATTAACACATTATTTTTAAGTATTATATTATGGACTTGGTAATTTAATTACTTTGTAATCTTTTATAAGAATGATATCTGAACTAAATTAAAACCACAAAAAAAAAAATCAAAACAATCCATTAGCTATACCGTGCTGCTTTTATTAAATTATTTTATTAGAAAAAATATTCCGCAGATTCGAATATAATACAATATTCAAATATAATATATTAATATTATTATTAATATTATTAAATAAAAAATTATTAATGTCTCTATTTTAATTTATAATAAAATGCCTGTATTTTATAAATGCTTTCGGTAACAAAAACTTTTTTAATTTTGTGAGAATTTATGTAAAGATCTTGTGCTATATACCAAAAAAAAAATATATTAAAAGTGGTCCAGAAGCAAAAATAAGGAGAAAAATAATATTTAAGAACAAAAAACCATATTAAGTAAAAAAAGATGTACATTTAAGACAAAAATAGAACAAAAGTTAAAAAATGGCAAAAAAGAATAAGACTATCTCTAACCATCTCTAAAGTTAATCTACATCAAAATATATAAGACGCTGATCCTTATTTCACTTTAGGTGTGGTTATAAATTGATTCCTAATTCTTCAAATTTATAACAGCTCTTTTAGAAGTTGAAGATTATAAAACTAAAAACCTTGACTCTCCTAAAGTTTAGAAGAAAATAAAAGAGTTAAAAAATCTTGAGTAAATGAAAGGATATAGTGTATCGAAAAGGCTCTCAACTGAGAATTAAAATTTTATTATAAATTTGTTAATAGTTTGTTAACATAAGAATATAAAAAACAACAACATTTCACTGCTCAATAATTTCATTAAAATCTAATAAATGAGTGCGATCACGACACCAATGAGATATAAGAATTTCCCTTCCCATTGTATTCTCTTTTTTAACTATAAACATGAATATATATTCTCTGTTGTTTCTCTTGTTTATATCAAAGCTTCTGAGGTATGTCTAAGGTAATTTAATGACATAAATTTTTTCCAATCATTTATATCAGTTCTCTGTTTAAATGATTATTTCGATGCTTGTCTATATCAGTTTTCTATTCATGTAGTTACTTAAAAGCTTTTATAGTATATCTCTCAAAAAATTCATAAAAACTCTTCCAATGTAATCATCGACCGACTATTTATATAATAATTTTAAAGCTACTAGAATTATTTTTCTATTCAGATTATAGAAACTCTTCCTAACGTAATCATCGAATCTCTTCATTAAAATGATACCAGTTGACATGCTTCTGATGTACATCTCTTAAAGAAACTATTGAAAGCCCTTTCCAATATGAACAACAAACGTCTTTTCATACAATTAGTTTAAAGCTTCTGTAGTATAACTCTTTGTAAAACTACAGAAATTGTCTCCAATATCATTATCGAACCTTTTTTCGTATAACTTTAAAAGTTTTGAAATAATTCTCTAAATGAAATTATAGAAAGTTATTCCAAGATGATCATTGTTCTCGATTCTCTTTTCACAAAATTACTTTAACATTTCTGGAGTCATTCTCTTTAAGAATAACATTTGTACGCAGTGAGCTATTTTCTCATATTGGCTTTCAATAATAATAAGCTCTACCCATTAGTTCTCAAACGTTGACTTAAGCTATGAAGGTTCCAGCTGTTATAAAAGTCAGTGTTTAACAGATCTCTTCATTAGTATCTTTATAACTGCAGTGAAGTTCAGATGTGAGATATAATAACTTTTATAAACTTATGTTAATATTTTAATATCCTAAATGAAAAGTTCTTATTAATATAAAAGTAACGAAGAATACTAAATATCAAAAATATCAAAAAATTTTTAAATATTAAATAAAAAGTAAAGAAAAAAAAAATGAAACAAACAATAATATATAAATAAATAAATGTTATATATAAATATAAGGCTATAATGTTTTATATAATTTATACTATAAATAAAAAAATGTGTAGTAATTTAAAATGTGCGTTATAAAAAAAAATATCATTAAAATTAATTTGTTTAATAATAAACATTTTTGGGTGAAAATTTTAAAACATTTTTAGTAGATTTTTCAAATTTTAAATTTAGTTATTTAACAGTGAGATCACAAATAAATAGAAAAAAACAATTAATATTTCTAAATATTTGTATAAATTTTAATATTAATAAAAAATAATGCATATAATCATATAATATTTATAATGATTTCCTTATATATAATTTTCATTAAAAATTAAGAATAATAAAACATTAATATATTTAAATACTAATATAATCTTTTATAATTATATATAAAAATAAATGAACATATAACAATTTTTTATATGTATTAAATATAAATTTATATATTTTTATTATATTATATTTATTATATTATTATTATATTTTCTATAAAAATATTTATAAAACTTTAAAGTACTTTTTTATTAAAGTTAAAAATGAATTATGAGCTGACAAAAACTAATTATCTTAAAAAATTTTATAATAAAAAAAGTTCTATAAAAAAAATTTTTAATAATTTTTAATAAAGTGATAAAAATAAATCTATTTCCAGATTTCAGATATGCTATTTCCATTTAAAACAATATTTAAAAAACTTTATATATACTTATTTATACGTATATGCACAAGTATATATAATAAAAATAATTAATATAATTAATAAATAATTACTATAAACGTAGAATAATATTCTTATTATTATTAATAATATTATAATATTACAAAAATTACAATTATTCTTGTAATAATTTTATTTATTATAACAAGTACTTTAACAAATACTTATTGTGATACAATTATATGTACATGTGTATATATTTATATGTACATACTTACATTACATGCAATTTCGAGAAACCTAAAAATGATATAATAATAGTAAAAATCTTAAAAATAAATTAAAAATATTTAACAAATTGTAAAAATTATAAAATGGAACACAAATAAATAAATTTACTTGAAATCAAATATAAAAAAAAAAATTTTTTTATAAATTAAGTGAAATAAAAATATTGGTAAATAAGTTTTTTTTTAATTTGAATTTACAACTAATTGTTTTAATTAGCAAATATATTTAATAATAATTTTGTTTTTTACTGACAAATTAGACCATTAAAAAACAAAATTATAATTTAAACTTACGTTAATATATATAAATAATAAAATTGACTTAAAATCCAATAAGACCAAAAATTTTTTAAAATTCGAAAACACATATAAATAATTTATTTTTTTATTTAAAATCCAATTTAATATATATTAATAATTAAATTGATTCGAAATCAGTCATAATAAAAAATTTATTAAAAATAAATGCATAAAAATACATTTTATTATAAAATATATATCGAAAAAAAATTAAACATTCAAGCCAAAAAATATATTCAAACCCTATTTCAAAATAAATAAAGCAATAATGAAATATAAAAGTATCTTAAATTTATAAATAAATAAATAAATGCAAAATTAATATAAATAATAGAATTCTTCAAAAAATAATCATTACATATATGATTTTAATTATATCTAATAAGAAAAGCCAATTTTTTAAAAATGTAGCTTAAACGACATAGTAGGTTGACAAAAGTTCTCAATATGGCAAATATAATGAAACCAAAAGTATATGAAATGATAATCATTTTACTGATTCTAAAAGTGTCCTTAACCTCGGCTTTTCCTATAACTTCTGATACGTGCTCTATGAATTGTTATTGTGATGAATACTATAAACAACATCGCATGGACTGCAGGTAAAGAACACATATTTTCATAATTTTTTTAATATGTATTCTCTCTGATATGAGATTTTCGTGAAATAATAACAGATGATATAATTTTGTGCTTAAAGAAAGTGTTCAGATATTTATGCACACTTAAAGACTCGTTAGTCTATTTATCTAGTGTCCATCTATCTGTCTGTGAATAGGTAATAAAGTCGCTCAGAAGGATGATATACATTTGAAATATTTTCTAAGTCCACGTTTATTATAATACATCGATAAATGAAGGAAATAACTTGACTGTATCATAAAGTGCACATAAAAAAAACCTAGCAAAAATTATTTATAAAAAATCATTTAATTATACATTGTATATCAGATGATGTACTCAAGAAGTATCTGTGTAAAAGGTATGAAAACTTCGGCAACGGCAACACTAATTTCCTTTATCTTTTTCATTGATTTTCATATACATGTGAATGCATTTGACCTCTTTCAATATAAGTCAGGGCTTTCCAAAGTACTGACAAATTAATTAAACAAAATTAACTATTATAACCGCATTTTTATTTTTGTCGAAAAGAACTATGAATGTATGTATTTGTTTCTGCGACCCTCCAATCTGTATAGTGCTTTATATTGACCCGCATCTGGTCTGGACAGGCTTGTTAAAGGCCTTTTTGAATGATTTGGATTAAAATAATAACGAAATGATTTCATTGTTTGTAATTCCAATATACCACATAGTTTAGTTCTGCAATAATCAGTCAACTGATTTAAATATATTTATTTAATTTAATTTTAATTTCATTAGCCCATATAACAATCAAACTGTTATATGGCTTTGATCTATTTATAAACGACTTCTTTAACCATATTCCGATTTTACAAATGCGATTTATTTGTTATAGTCAATAATGAGATGTGTTTATATATAACTTGTTACATTCTTGAAAATTGTATTTAGCCATTTAGATTATATGAAACAAAACTGTTATCATATATATATATATCATAAGTCCAAAGTTTTTATCATATGTATATATCATATGTGCAAAGTATATATTTTGAGAAAGTAGTTAAGAAGTGTATACATATGTTAAATACCACAATAGAAATGCAATGGGACGTCGTGTGAATCCATATTTTTGCTTTTTGATTTCAGTTGTCAATTTAAAATCTTTAATCGCTAAAATTACAATCAAAATTCTCGTATAAATCCAGTATTACTTTTTTCTAATTTTATAAAAAGCAATACCCAAAGATATTGTCGTGGTTTTTAAATGCAATAAGTTCGTAATTGCAATATTTTTTTTGTTACTCAAAATTTTATTACTTAATAAAATTTAATAAATAAACAAGTTTCTATAATTACTACACATTTTTATATATTTTGTTTAAGCTACCAACTTCTTGAGGATGCAATCATATACTCCAATTCTCCCATTGCCTACTTGGACTTAAGTTACAATAACGTAAAAGTTTTAAAAGATGACACTTTTATGGTAATTTAAAATATATATATTATATTCTACATAATATAATAGACAATTATATTATAACGTATTGTATTATCGTATCGTATTATAGTTGGAATTAACTATTTATAAGTTATATTTATTTATAGGCACATTTCAATATTATTGAGTTGAACTTAACCCACAATTCTATAAAATTCATTGAAGCCAACAGTTTTTCCAATCTTCTATACTTGCATGTTCTTGACTTATCGCACAATGAAATGGAAGCGTTACATGCCGATACTTTTAAATCGAATTTGTTTTTGAACAAAATCGATTTGAGCCAAAATAAATTCTCCGATTTGAAAAATGTACCTTTCATTATAAACCACTCTGTCCGTTTCCTCAGTTTAAGAAGTTGTCAAATAAACCAAATCAACAGTACGATGTTTAGTGAAATGCCGCAATTGCAAGAGCTTGATTTATCCAATAATTTGTTGATAATGATTAATTTTGATAATTTTATTTACTTAAAACGTTTAACTTTCATGAATATTACTGGAAACTCCTTTTTGACTTGCAATGAAATGCTAAAGGCGAATTTGAAGGAGTTCCAGAAGCGTTACATTAAGATCGATGAAACAGTTTGCAAATTATTTAATGAAGAGTTTATGATTTCTACAGTTAAACCAATCGCAGAGTATTTATTATCAGATGAGAGTAACATTAATGAAAAACAGGCCAACACTAATGACAGCGCAACAATTGACCCCGAAATGATCTGCTCTGCATTAAACAACTATATGGGTGCCTCTTGTAATATTTCTCTACCCATAAGTTTTTGCGAAGTATACGCTAGATACCTTGAAATTAATCCTGAAAATAAGACAGCATTCAAGGAAACTAAGTGCTATAGGCAAGATGACGTACACTTTTCCTTTTTTGCTGGAACATTACTGGGCTTTCTCACAGTAGGATTTATGAGTTTTTGTCTTGCATGCATTCAGTACTTCCGAACTAAAGCAGAAGAAAAAGGTAATCTATAATAAATTTTTAAACTATATTTATATAAAATATAATTTCTTTTTTTTAGAAAAAGAAAATGACGAGCCTGAATACCGTACACATGGTACTTTTACTGATTCGGACTCCAGCGATTACTAAACCAATGACTTATATTTTATATACGCTATGACTTATATTTTAAGTGCCGGGATATCGGCAAAATTTCTAGTAAAATGGTTTCTCCAATGAGACTGAATCTAAAATTATATACACATAATTAAATTATAATTATTCTTAATTGACTAAATCTATACAGTCCATGTACTAGAAAATGAAAGAATATGAAGCACAAATATTTAAAGTGATTCTGTTTGGACTTTAATATATTTTAACTACTCAAACTACTCCCACCGTGGAAGGTTTCAAGTAAAAGAAGAAGAAAATGAAGTTATTTAGAATTTATTTACAATATGGCGCTACACTTAAATTAAGCCCAATGCTACTTAAAGTTAATTATACTATATATTAATATATTTTAAAGAAAAAATTATTCGTAACATACATACTTATGATAATTAGTATATAATTTTTAAAAACTAAATGACCAAATATTGCATTATTTGAGTTACTTTTATAAATTTAGTTATTTAACCATCACGCATGTGAATCCTCGCAAGACAAATAAATTGTACAAAAAATATAAAAAAAAAATTAATTATACTTTACAAAATATATTTATATATGTATTCAATAAAATATTACATACGAACATTACAAAAATATAAGAATCTGTGTATTTATTTAAAATAATTAATATTTTTCAAGCAGATCTCAGAGATACCTTACTAAAAACTGAATATATTTAATAAGTACGTATAAGTTTCATTAGTGAATAGCTGAATTCTTAATTGTCTCTAGAAGAAAATATGAAACTGATCTACAATCAGTCAATCATGTTTAAGACCACCATCTTAAAGACTTTAGTAGCCATTTAGCTAGAGATCCTTGTGACAACAGAGGATCTTCACCTAATCTTACAAAAAATTCAGTTAAGCTAGTTTCATTTGTTTATTTTTTTTTATTAACTCAGTTTTTATTATTAGAACCGAATGAATTGGAAGAGAGAGAGAGAGAGAGTATATCTGATACAGTTCTTATTTCGTTAGAAACCTATATGTATTTTATTATCAAAAAAGAAATATCGAAAATGATTTATGCAAATAGATTGAGAAGAAAAGCTACTTCTGTCTCACTGAAAAGTGTAAGTTCCAAGTGGATCATAAAATATTTTGTATGCTCAAAAGGATTTGCAAATTATGTTGGTTCGAAGTCTATTATCTTGATAAGTTTTCAAAAGTGTTAATATTGTACTTTATTGGATTTCCAGAATTCCGAATTTTTAAGTTTACTTAATAGTCAAGCTAACTGACTAGTAATAGAGGACACCTCTAAAGTCTGAAGAAAATGTAGACATATTGAATAGTACTGATCTTGGTTTTTATAACTATGTGGCATTAAACTGAATGATTCTGTCCTAAACAGAACACAATTTCAATAGGATATAATCGGGTAATTATATACATTGATTGAGACGGTTCAGTCAGAGATAAATTGTATTAATCATTGTATTATAATATAACATGATTTACAATTATAATTTTTTTTAGAATCTGATCTATCACCTAAAGGAAAACACTTAATCTATATTGATTTGCTAAAAACTTAATTGAATTAATTGAATTAATTTTTGTAGTAGTAGATCTACTTCTCTCATAATACTTAATAAAATAGTAAATATTGTGTTACAATTTACAAAAGTTAAAATAAGATATCATATAATAGTATTACCTACACGATCCCAAACTTTTAAGAAGAAAAAAATGTAAAACATAAACTTCTAAGTTTGATAATTCTAATTTAAATAAAAAATTATTACTTTTAAATAAATAAGATTAAATTTTTTCAACTAATAATAACTAATATGAAAATATCAGAAAATTAATTATTTGATGTAGAATATATAAAGATTTTCCGAATTATTTTCCAAAAAAAAAAAGAACTCAACTATTCCTACCATATGAGTTTAAGATAGGATAGAAGACTTTATAGATAAATTTATATATATTTAAAAAGTAATAATGTTGTAAAGCAACGAAATCACTTCAAATATATAAAAAATATACAGTATATATATATTCTAAAAGAGATGATTAAACTAGTTTTAGATCCTATTTAAAAAAAACAATGGATAAAGAATGTTACATACCATAGATTTCATAAAAATATATGTTATTCAAAAGTACACCAAATTATTTAAAATAAGCAAATAATTCTGAAATATGGTGTCATTCTTTTACTCAGTAAAGAATTTTCCTGGTATAGCACATATATCATATATCAAAAACAGTTGTTCTGCCATTCAGCTTTTTTGCAGAATAAATCGATCTAATTTCATTCCATTGAAATATTTTAATTGTTTCGAGAGAATATTGTGAACTCATAACTTAAATATGATCATCTGTTTTCATTAAAATTTAACTAAAATCTCACTAGTGATGAGAAATTCTAATTCAAATCTTATGAAATTGAAGTTTAATATTCTATATGTGGAATTTTATAGGTATATTATTACTCATCATTGGAACAGGAATGAACGGGGTTCTAGCTTCCAACGGAGCGGAGCACTGCGACAATAATTGATCTTTTGTGCTGCAACAGACCCTAATCGAACAAAAGGCATTCTGCCTTTCGAAGGCCAGAATGTCGGCCGATGAGGACCTCTTAATGTCAGAAGGGAAGAGTAGTTCTCGACCCAGTAACCTCCTTCTGGCCCAGATCAAGGCTGGTCAGTATTAATCATCATACGAAGAAATAAATTAATCGACTTTGGTATATGACTATGAGATGTAATCGCAAACTAGATCGTTGGTGGATAAGGTTCAAACTTTTATTTAAAGGAACCTGCGACGTATTATCAGTGTATCTTATATGAAGAATCCTATGGAAGCTAGAATCTTATATGAACCTCTAAGGCATCGTACCAATCATAAACCGATAAAGAAAGAAATTTTTCAACTAAAATACGATTGTGTAGGTCACACATTAAGAAAACTGATGGATGCGATTGCTTATGCTATTATGGAATGATATTTCCAAAGTGTAAGAGGCTTAGATCGACCGCGAATTACTTGGCATAAGACAATAGCGAAAGAAGACTTTTAGCTAGCTACGTTTTTCTGCTAGAAATAGGTACGGATGATTCCTTCACCATGCAAACCGATACTGAAATTCAATTAATCCGGGCTAGATTTATTCCACTGGAAGACATGATGCAAAGAAAGATGAAAAACTAAAATATATTTTTCGAGTTTGTATTTGCTATTTTTATTACTTCGTATCAAATTTTTTAATGGTAAAGTTTAGAATACTTAGGCATTTTGTGTATAGATGATCCCAAATTTATGTGATAGATCACATTTATGGTTTTTCTATGGAAAATTGTCCAGTAAGTCAGATTATTATTCCTGCTTGCTACTAAGAATTTATTTAAATTAATGCGAATTTTCGAACCAAATCTTCACAAGCCAGACATATCAATACTTGTAAGTATATAAAAGTGTTTGTTTAGTATATATATATCATACATTAAGACTGAAAAGTTTTCGGAAATTCTCATTTAAAATTCGCGCGCTGTATATTTTTCGATATTTTAAGTTTATGTAGTTTGGCAGCACTGTCCTTAATTACTATGCCAAAAATGAGCGCGATCTGTCAGACAGTTCGTTTACGGCAGCTGTTGAAACCAGTTCACCTCAGTAGTGCGTTGCGAAATGTCTTCGACGGTCGTACGACCGTCCTGAAAGGCTTTGTACCACTCATAAACTTGAGTTTTCGATAAAACTGATTCCCCATAAGCCTTTTGTAGCATTCGCAACGATTCTGCACACGAAATTTCGTTCGAAACACAAAATTTGATGCAAACTCTTTGTTCAATATTTTTTTCCATTGTTTTTTTCGCAACGCACTACTGAGGTGAACTGGTTTCAACAGCTGCCGTAAACGAACTGTCTGACAGATCGCTCTCATTTTTTGCATAGTAATTGTCCTTAATTGCTGCCAAACTACATAAACTTAAAATATCGAAAAATATACAGCGCGCGAATTTTAAATGAGAATTTCCGAAAACTTTTCGGTCTTAATGTATATGATTCCGACGAAATTTTAAAATGTGTTCTTTAATACCAATATGAGTTCGGATATAGTGAATTTCATCATTGTCGATATCAAAATTTTCTCGAATTTCCATTTACTTATCGTGATTTGTAACGTTATGTGATAAAATATTATATTAAAAGCCAAATTGTGTTTCTCCTATATCATTTTTATTTATATTTTATGTAGATTTATGAAATATATTTTGGAATACTTTGAGATAATGGATTCTGAGTGGACTTAATAGTTTTAGTAGTCTTATTTAAAGATTCTTGGAAATATTCACTTAAATTTTTTATTTATAAGAATCCCTAGATATTGTTTTCATATTATTGTCGTCCTGAAATTTTTTTATCTTTGTTGAAAATTCGTTTCTGCTGGACTGATATTTTGACTGGTAACCAAACTTTCGTTCTTCAGAAGTCGTTTTATAAATACGCTTCACTTATTTTTAATAATTATGACATTATTTTTCACCTCAATCCAAGGTGGACTTCTTTTCACTTTAACCCACTATTTTTCTATGAACACGATAATCGTCCTGCATCCTATCCATTGACCTACATTCATTCTGGTTGCGGTGTTATAAGTCTGTATTTTCCTATTATTATTTCTTTTTTTTTTCATTTTGTCATTTTTGCGTATGTTGTTCATAGAAGTAATACTTATATATATTCTATATATTATATATATCTATATATTATATATATCTATATATTAAATATATCAAGGTATTTTTTTTTAATATATGCTACGTAGTCTATCATATTAATTACTTTATCCAATAAAATTATAGCATTAAATACTCTCAACAGTAAAGTTGTGTAATGAGTCTGTGATTATAGTGACCTTTTGATTTAATCTTCATAGAACTCCTCGAAGTCTTAATGGACTGAACTCCAAACCCATTTTCATTAATGTTTATGGTATATAAAGAATATTAGGTTTCAATAAATTCATTGCCTTAACACTGTATCTAAACTGACTAAAACTGAATAGGTATTATATTTTACAAGATATATATTATTAATTTCCTTTAATGACATATGTACTTCCGAGAATAAACTATACTGTAAGATATCACTCAACTAATACTGCCGAATATTCTATAAATTCCGTTTATAAACCGATTTTAATGAAGAAATAATGAATGAATATTCCTTAATTATCTTTAAGTACAAATGAATCAAACATCTAAAGAGTAGTAACTACTAAACTTTTGCAGATGCCTACACTGACACTAAGCTAAAGAAATTATTAGCATTATCATGCTAATACTGATTTCATCATTTTATGCGTCTGCCTATATACCAGTATTTAATCGCTAAATATAAAGTTAGTTATACAAAATATTACTTAGAAACCTTGTGAGTCGAGGCAAATTAATTAAAGAAATGAAAGA